GGCGTTAATCAATCCCTTGTGACCAGATTTGCCAACGCATTCATATTACACGAGATATCTTGGAGGTGGTTGAATGCGTAGCTAATCTATACAGTGACTTGAGTTTATCACTCTTCAGCAAATAAGTGCATCCATATCCATAAAGGCCAGTGGCTGCCTATTGTTAGAACTACGAGGACACCTGAACAGCGATATCTGAAGAATCCCGGGAATGGAAGCTACACCATTAAAGCTTCGTCGCCCATCTGTCACCATGTACGCAGACTTCCACAATGTATGCCAGCTGCACAAGAAAGAAACGAATGGAAGATTAAGGATGTCCGCACTACACGTGAATAGAAACCATTTAAGCGACTCCATGTGAGTTATCTCCTCAATTAGTTTATGCTAATGAAATCGCAATTACCTATAATGAATTCTATAACTGCAGGCTTTTTTAAGATCCAAAAAAAAATACGGAAAACCTTCTTATAATGCTTTATGATGCTTCTTTTTGTCAACACTATAAAAAATATCTATGTAGTGAATGGACCCGGCCAATGCACCAGTTTGTAGTGAATGTTCAGTCGGGCTCGTAGATCGGTAGCCGTTAGGTTTGCACCAAAGTTGGGTTGTTGCACCTCAAACTTGGGTAATTAAACCTTTATATAAACCATAACAATACTACAATAATAACTAATAACGAAGACAAGAACAATACAATACAATATACGGTAATTGTAAGGTGACAAAAAGGTGATGAGTAAGGTGCACGGATGAGACGTCTGCTGCGGGGGTTATATAGGGGATGCAGGAGTGGGCGGAGCCTAAATAGTGTCTACTTTCTATGTCGGTACCAGAGGCTACATGACTCATGTAACTAGCAACCATACTCTATTATGGAGGATGGTTGCTACACTCCCCCTCAGCAAACTAATTTCTTTGAGGTATCAAATCGTTCCAATGACTGGGTGTGGCTTCATGGTTTAGTGTTCCATTTGGACGACGTAAGCACTGATCTGCCGTGAACGTTGTACTGCCGTGAACATTGGGCTGTTGAACTGTTGAAAGCGTTGAGCTGTTGAAAGCGAGAGCGGTGAGCTGTTGAGAGCGTTGAGCTGTTGAGAGCATTGAGTTGTTGAACTGTTGAAAGCGTTGAGCTGTTGAACTTTGAGTTGTAGAATTGTCGATCTGCCACGCGGGACTTTTCTCTCTACCAATCCGGCCGATGCACCAAATTGTAGTATGGACCCGGCCAATGCACCAGTTTGTAGTGAATGTCCAGTCGGGTTCGTAGATCGGTAGCCGTTAGGTTTGCACCAAAGTTGAGTTATTGCACCTCAAATTTTGGTAATTAAACCTTTATATAAACCATAACAATACTACAATAATAACCAATAACGAAGACAAGAACAATACAATACAATATACGGTGATAAAGAGGTGATGAGTAAGGGGCACGGATGAGACGTCTGCTGCGGGGACTTATATATGGGATGCAGGAGTGGGCGGAGCCTAAATAGTGTCTACTTTCTATGTCGGTACCAGAGGCTACATGACTCATGTAAGTATCAACCATACTCTATTATGGAGGATGGTTGCTACAAAGGTAGAGATTACTCGAGAGAGTATTCTCTACATTGATAGTATATGAAGAAATAGATTCAGTAAAAATAACAAATACAGCATTGAAATGTTTCCATTTTATTAGCTAGGTAGTGTATGTTCGTTTAGAACGAATCAAAACGTTCTGTCATTCGCAGGATTCGAACCTGCGCCCTCCAAAGAGAACGCAGCGCCTTAGACCACTCGGCCCAGAATGACTACACACAAACGAATCCTCATTGTCTTACAAATAACGTAAAATTTGAAGCATTTCATTTAATAAGCTATCCATTTCAACGTGTAATATAGTATAGTACCGACAATAAAAGGAATTTATGGATTTTCAAAAAATCTGAGAAAAAAAGATAGCTTTGGGTTTTTAAAATTTATATTACTTACTAAAATTAATACTCATCACGTGTTACAGGAGTGTTCATTTTGTTCGTTTACAATGAGTTCCGGTTTGTAACGAGATTTGGCCTCCTTAAGCCTGTTCTCTTTTCGTTGAAACAGAACCGAGTGTATACGAGGTATGGAGCTGAAATATTGATTCAACAGTAGTAACATATCTACTAGTCCAATAATTTTCTATGCTAATAAAAAGCTTTCCTTTCGAGATTAAGGAGCCTCAACAACATATCCTATAGATTGATAAATAGTGATAAAATAGCGATTGGTCCAAGCAAATCAGAATAGATCAAACAGTACAACAAGTCGCTTACCTAAATGTAGTACCATGCTCCAAAAAACGATTGGAATCAATATATTTCCCTCACAAACATGAAAATATTTGAATTTATCCATCGTGCATTATTATCTTTATATCCCTTCGCGGATATCATTCCTGCAATCCTGCAGCATTCAATAATTGGTGTTTCTCATTTTTTGATATCCTTTTATGGTAGCAGTAGCACACTTAGCAGAAACTTACAAGAGGTTCGTGAAGCGATAATTGAAATAATGTCGCTACCCGCTGCCTCAATCCCCGTTTCAAAACCGCCTATATTTAAATCACCATCACCTGGACCGGCAGCAACAACAACGACAAAAAATCTCGCGAATGCTTCGACAGGAAAACAAAATAATGCAAATTCTATAGATTTGAGAGCAGCAAAGGTAATTTTCTAACTTTTCTAAGTTTTTTATAAAATATACAACATAATATTTATTCTTATTTTTTATTTATTAACATTAATTCATTCGTTGAAAGTGTCCTAATAAGCAACGTGAGATACTTTTTAAGCCTTCGCTTTCCCCATACTGCTGATAATCAACAGTGTTTACGTGTATGCGAAAGAAGCGTAAAATAACCTAGATAAGCTTTGGTATTGATCGATCCCTTGTGGCCGGATGCGTCTACGCATTCCTGTTCAACGTGATATCGTCGACGTGGTTGAATGCGTGCATGGTCTGTACACTGACTTGAGTTGACCACTACTCATTGGGTCAGTGTTAGTTACTTTACACAGATTGCTCCAGTACGGATTTATTGGCCCCGAGGGATGACGGACTTCTCAGGCCTTGAGGTCGGCCGCGTAATGATTCGGGCACCACTGTACTCCTATTGAGGAGTGGTGATCAACTACAAAATGAGGCACATCGTAGTGAGCAGTGAAATTCCGCAGCACGTAACTGCTATAGTTTTGTGGAAAACTGCTAAGAATGGCTAAATGTAACATGCTGTATAGTCGTTCACTTGGTACGTACAGCAACAAAGAATATAATTTCAACTATTTATGTTTGAAAAAAACAAATAGTACTCATTAATAATAAACATATGATATTTACCTCAATTTGAAACATCATCATTTTGATTTTTAAGACATGTAGGTTGTGGAATTTGGAAGCAGCACAACGCAAAAACAATGTGGTAGGTTGTTTATTGGATTTCATTCTTACAACTACATTCAGATCAATTGACTCACATTCTAATTTCAGAGGCCAGAAGGTCAAGCTATTGAGAATAAGGCCGAAAAGCTTGTACTGAAGGCTCCAGAAAAGCCAGTAGAAAAACCACCAGAGAAATCCGCCGAAAAAATGTCTCCTAATAAACCAATTTCGAATAGAATTACACCGCAACAAAATAAAAATATCACGAAGAAAAAACGTAAAGAATTGACGAAACGAGAACAAATGAAGGAGAACGATCTACTGAGAAGCGACAGTTTCACGTACGACCATTAGCATATTTTTGATAGCGCTGATAATGAAAGTGGTTAGAAGTTTGTTGCTACAAACCCGAAACAGATCTTATTGATCGAAAGTTTTTAAAATACTTTATTTTCATCGATTTCAATTAACTGTTAGTATAAGATTCGAAAACTTCGAATTTCACTTTTCCATGTCACTAGGAAATTTTCCAGCACATTCCTAATACATGAAGTGAGCGCGACGTGCTAGTTCTCCTCACTCCTATCCATGTCAAGAGCTCTTTCGTAGTTGAGGCAATAAGGCTAATTTATTCTCCAAATCGAGATCTAGGATCAACGCACATATGCATATGCATGAGTGCCTAGAAAACTCTGGGTGAAATAAACAGCACTACCAGGCTCACATTCTACCACCTCCACGGTATCACGTTCAACACGAATGTGTGGGCGCATATCGCCACTAGAGATAGAATTGAATCAACGCCGAAGCTTATCCCATGTTCATGCAAAAAGTACAGCTTCTTTTAGTGCAGCAGAGCTTGAGAGTCCAACTCTCAAATCCATTTATGTCCTGGTGTAGGTATGCGGTCGTCCTTGGTTTGCAATCTTTTGATCTGCTATCTTACGTCGCACCACGCAACGTCGCCATCGGGAAAGCTCATGACAGCATAGATGACAGTATTTTCTTTTAAACTGATTTTCCAATACTCATATTTCTTTGTTAAGACAGCTTTCTTTCCTGTTAAAATCTTTTTTTTAGATGGAAAGTGGTAAAACTTTTGGGTTCTGGCGGTTTTGGAGACGTGTATAAAGTTGTAAAAGAAAACAATGTGGATAAGCAGGTTATTATGTTGTTCCTCCTAATCCTCTTGTTGTTTAAAGACCTTAGCTAGACGGATTACTTCTACTTGACCATTTTCTTTTTGTTGAGTTCTTGAAGAAATTTTGTTTACACAAACGAGTTAATTTATCAGTAGTGGCGCAGAGTGTCACAATGACAGGCAGGCCCGAATGAGTGAGTTCGCATCCACCCACCGCTCACTCCACGCCGTCTCACTTTCTATTAGTCCATCGACATATACTTTAGAGCCACCATTTTCTTATATGCAGTGAGGTATCCATGATATTTTTATGATTGAACACGTCAAATTAATCTACTCTCTAGAAATCCCGTTTTTAAGTTTGAACACCAAATGTTTTTTTATAGCATTTCAAGAAAGTAGCGGTGTAATGCTTGACCTAGTAAGTACATGGTATACAAAATAACATTTTCTACAAGGGCATTGTCGTAAACGTAAAAAGTGCTGACCGGTAAGGGGATACTATTTCGCTAAAGCTGTTTAGAATCACTGTTAAGAAAATGATGTGAAAATTAGAATGGAACGATGTGGGAGTGAAAATCAACGGTCGGTGACCTCACTATCTATGCTTCACCGGTGATATTGTATTCACTGAGCAAAATATCAAACATACGAATTGAGTGCCAGCCGATTTGCACAATATCTGTTTAGAAACTGACCTTAAGTGCTTGAGGATTATGCAAGTGTATATCGACGATGTAGTGTAGAGCACAAGAAATTAAAAGCTTCAAGCCCACGTTTGTGACATCACAGCCCCGGAAATTTAGATGAAATGAAAGCAGGATAAAATGAAAAGGCTTAAATCAATGTGTTATCGAGAGAGTGATACTAGATTCTCCCTGTATCACACAAGTGAGAGGAAAACAAAGTTTTTCTCACATCAGAGATCAAAGATCAGAGGCAAACACATGCAAATAAGGATACAAATGCACGTCAAATAAATAAGGATTGGACGGATCGGACACACATGACGGCCTGAACTCTTGTTTTTTCACGAACGCCCTGGAGAAAGATTATGATGATTATAAAATCCTTGAAGCTTAAAGAATACATTACATGCACGATGATAAAAATTACTTCTATTGTAAATGATCTACTTAACAGTTGTGGTCCGCCAAAACAAATCGGTATACGATATGATTTGTTTTTGTATAATTCAATTAGATAATCTGATTCTATATGAAGCTCAAGAATATCAAGGTCGATTTTGGAATCCAAGATGATGTCATTTTACAAAGAAGAAAAACTTTTGG